GGTCTCGATGACACCCATTGTTTTGCTGGGAGACAACTACTGTCTTTTGTTTAGGAAAAGCTTGTTTAGGAAGAGCTCGATTTATGAGTTACGAGTTACTGTAGTAGAAATTTCGTGTTATCGAAAATTTCGTGTTTTACCTAGTACCGGCTCTTTTCAGTCTTATAAGTCATTGCCGTTGGTGTGATTCCGAATTCCTTAAAAGTAGAAGAGCGCCAAAAATTCTGTCCGTTGGGGGCCTGTTTTTAATGATTCCCGTTAAACTAAAAAGTCTAAACAGTCTACTTTAGACTTTTAGACCATCTAGACTAATGGGAATGACCCAATGAGCGAACAGACCTTTTGCTTCTGCTACGCTGCAGTCCGTTGGGGCTCATTTTTTCACTTCATAAATTTCTTTTCATCCCTTTTTACTAAATTATTGCTGGTCCTTAAAAATTTTCTTCTGTTGCTGGTCACAGCTGTTCAAAACCCCCATTTTGGACATTTTATGACAAGGTTTGCAAGTTTAGAATTAAACTAGAGTTAGGGAGAATACTACTACTAATGTTTGGGAAGAATCAAGCAATGTGATTGGTGGTGGCTAAATTTTTGAATGAATGGTTCTCATAGTAGATTTTCATCCAGGAGTGGAGAAAAAGGAAAGGAGAATACTTTTTTGGCTAATTAGAACAGGTTTTTGACTAATTAATTTTTTTTTACTAATCAAAAGACATTTTTGACTRGTTAGATTACTTTAAATGAATCTTTTTTGGTGATAAACTGAACAATCAATTGACTCCAGATCCGCTGTACTAGTACCTAAAGGGTCCTCCTGAGCAGCTGTGTGGTGCAACCTTTCTTTGAGATCAAAAGGGTGCTTATTGGAGAAAAACCAAAGCAAGAAGCAGTACTACTAGTAGGAGAAGGTAGAAGAAGAGGAATGGGCACACCATTTGTTGTGTTGTTGTATTGCATGAAGAGGAGGAGAAAATAAAAAAAACTTTTATGACTGCTGAACAACAGCTTGCCTGCAATTGTTGTTGTCCTGATTGGTGGYTGTTGGTTGTTGTGCTTGCTGGTTTGGTGGTGAGTGGCAAAATTGAAAACCAAGAAGCTTCTTGTTGCTTGTTCTTACTTGGTGCACCTCCTTAACAAGAAAACTGCTGGCACTCCTGGTGGTGTTGAAATTTCTTGGTACTACTACTACTAGCTCCTACTAGTAGTAGTGCCTCTGCAGTAGTGAATCAGAAACAAACTCATGACCATTTCTTTAATRTCATTGCAGTCATGTACTGTATTTGTAATTGCCTATCATCTAGTAGCAGGGAAGAAGGTGTGAGTCCGAACCTAGTACCGGTATTGTCAGGAGAAACCATGACCAATCCTGACTGTACCGTTTAATCCCACATAGATATCGCAGCAATGACGCATCTGCTTYTGTCCAATGAAATATCTATACTAAGTGACGCATCTGTTTCTGTCGAAAATAAMTTAACGCATTCAATAACAAAGAATATGAGGAACATTCTCTRYGTTGTCGTTGATTGTTCATCGTGACAACGGTTTGCGTAAAGACACGATCGAGTTGCAGRAAAATCGAAGTCTCACAGATGAACTAGAAGCTTGAAAATTAATCTTTCATCTTGACTTTCGATGCCACTATCTCTGAGTTCGAGTACGAGTGACAGAATACATATTATTTGTAAATCTTTTAAAATAGAAAGTAAGTGGAATTTTTCTGTCATCGGGCTTTCATGAAGGAAATTATGACGATGGAAGACCCGATGATCGAACGAAAAATGGTTGTTGCCCAGCAAGAAAACGAGAATACCGGATTTTGTCTTCAACAMGTTTCGTTGGACAAAGCCGTTGCGCCACTTCTTGTACGACCAATAGCGCCATTTGACCGAACAGAGAGGAAACGAGCGCACACATCTGCTATATTTTATAGCGAATGCTTTCTACGCGGTATCGAACCGAAAATGGCAGATACCGCAGCKTTACAAGCACAGGGGGTATACGATAAATGGTGGGTAAGAAGCACAGCATCCTCCCGTCGTTTCGGCACTTTCGTTGGAGATAAGTCAGAAAGCCAAAAAGGTACCCGGGAAGAAGAGGGGACAAAAAATAAAGCAAAATACAARAAACGTGTCGCAGATGAAGCTTTTCTTCGAAWTACCCATGATTTTACTGGAACTCTCGTAGCGCGTGATCCRTCTTTATCCAGAGAAATCAGTATTGAAGTTGTCAAAAAACTCATGATTGAAGAACTACGCTCATCTGGAGGAAATGTTGATACACCGGAATTTTTGAAATACCAACGAATTCTCGAGAAGGAATTCATACAACGCGGAATAAAAAATGTTAACCRGATTTCACAAGAGGGCAACTGGTTTACAATATCGAAGCCGACTTTTACTGAGTGCCAAGGGACCAACGACAAAGGAGAGAATAAATATTCTTTAGGACGCATAAGTTTTGACATGTTCAAACCTACTGGCTTAGTATGCTCCTTCCGGGGAGCGTTCAATTATGTGCAGGCTGTMGATCCTAGTAATCCAGGAAGGCCGCTCCATGTTCCTCGAGTGTTGATGCAAGATATCAAGAAAGAAAAATGTAGACTGAGGACATATGAGTAAGTTTGAGTACTCTTCTTTTTCAAACGCAGTTATTGTTCCTTTGCTTTCCACTCAATTTTTTTATTGTTCTCTTTTATGTTGCTTAGTATTGCCGTTGCTATTACAGTCGAAGCTGGACAAGATCAAAAAGGTAATTTTMTAGATGAAGCGGAAGAAAATAGCTGTTACATCGTACCCAAACCAATCCGTGGAATTTTGACGACGCTGGGCTATAGCATCCCAGATCCCAACGTAGCGAATCGACTGAGTATATGGYTTTCTGGTGGTTCTCTAGAGGTTCAGGATGAAGAGAGAGATGTAGACGAATGGAAGAAAATATTTGACACTTCCACTGCACCAAATCGAGACATAAGGGAATATGCAAATAGTCTAGCTGCAAGATTACTCYTAGGAGCGCACATACACGACAAGATGGAGGAAGATGGAACTCTTCGATTTGACCTTAAACGACCAATTGGAGGACACGGATCTGTTTTCTGTGACATAATATACATGGATGACAATCTACGAATAATGCATGGCCACCACGACTCAGTTTATGTATCTGTACGAGTTCCGGGCTAGTCTAMAATACGAGATRGAAAGGTCGATCCATAGCTTTTAAATTCTTCTATTACATCTTCTACAATAATACCAAGGCCGTTTCAAAAATAACGGCTCGCGGTGACAAAAGCCTAGCGTTTACTCGTAAATCCACTGAGCTTCGGTGGCAGCGTAGCTAATGACTCCCTCRGGGAACCACATAGCAATCTCGTGCTTGGCGGACTCGACAGCATCACTTCCGTGGCAGATGTTGCGGCCAACTTCAATGCAGAAATCTCCACGGATGGTTCCCATGGCACTTTCGGATGGCATGGTAGCTCCAAGCATCTTGCGTCCCTCCAAAACGACGTTCTTTCCTTCCCAAACCATGGCGCAGACAGGTCCAGAGGTCATGTATTCGATGAGACCGGGGAAAAATTTCTTCTCCTTCAAGTCAGCATAGTGGTTTTCCATGTGTTCCTTGGTAGGGCTGGTGAGCTTCATGGCCACAAGCTTGTAACCCTTCTGTTCRAATCGCTTGATGATTTCACCAATGAGTCCACGTTGGACGCCATCGGGCTCTGCAGAAGAAAGAGATGCAGTGGAAGAAACTGGTGAGAACACCTTTTGAAGATCGACAAAATGGTTAGGCAGTAATCTGTCACCATAGCAACTTACTGATCATGATGTAAGTTTGTTCCATCTTGAGATATTGATATTACTGTTTTTCGAAAGTAGAATTGAATGCTATTATGAGAACAGTAGCTTCTGATTTCTTCCGTCGGTCACAAAAACATTGTTTTCAGCAGCAGCAATGCTATGTCGAAAGATCATCAATCGACCGCGTATGACGAAATATTTCGTCATTTTTGTGTGGCCGAGAACGCTTTATCGGAACGTGGCGAATCTGGAAACTCTATCGATATCCTTAACACTGAAACAAGAGTACAGAACAAAATATCTTACGTAAACTCCCATACGATACGTACGTACTGTGCTTCGAGATGATTATCGAAAATGGAACACGTACAGTACGTACTTCGTACGGTCTCGTACGGTTCCCATACATACTCTTCTTATGACCCCTACGTACATACCCCTGTACTCGTAGTCGTACGGAAGCATCGACAGAAAAATACACCAGAAAAATTATCTCTTTTATTAGTACCGGTAGTATTATTTTTTTATCATCGATTGCGCATTCCTCTCCKRGCAAAATCAATCCGAAAAAGYAGCTTTTCATATCTGTGYACTCAACATCTGTTAAAAACKTAGTAAAAKAGTCGTATTCAAAAGCATCCAGGTTGTTCATAAATTTTATAGCAGGTCAAGGAGAACCATTTCAACGTCTGTTGTGGTTGGAAAATTKTCWTCTTCTTGGTCTCTAAAGGAATAAACGTTTCTTCCTTCAAGCATTGCATTCTCGATGTATTTTAGTTGCCTTAGCAAGCTGAGTGTYTTCGAAGATGGTTTCGATTCAAGTCTTTCTTTCACACGTGGGTAGTAAGCAATTCTTGGCCTAGAGTTCTTTGCACGTTTCGCATTGCCTTGGTCAAATTTYAACTCTTCTCCCAACGAACTTCTTTTGTTCGGCCGTTGAACTGGTGAATTCACCTCTGAAACAGCGTTTTCAAGGGCTCGAAATGATTGGGCACGACCCATGTTGGAGCTCTCTAACTCAGCAGGTGCTGGAGCCTGCTCCTTTATTCCGTTTTCCTCGTGGTCCTCGATGCTTTCGGTCATATCTAATGTTGCATTGTCATCTCCGTTGTWAGCAGGTGAAAAATAGTACTGGTGGAGTTGCCACAAGTCCCCATCGTCGAAAGGAAGATTACCRATATCGTTTAGAGTTTGTAAATGGGATCGCAACCATGTTAAATTCTTGTGCCGTCGCTCATATTCAATTGCGGCTGCAGTTTGGAAGCTCAATGTTGATGATCCTGTGTAGGAAGATTGATCAARTGATTCCATCTCGGATGACCAGCATTCCTCTGAGCGTTCAACTTCACCTTCGATCTCCACATTTTCTTGGGTCGCACTCGGCTGCCGTTCCCACGATGGTACTTGCAAATTGTTTCCTGACAACGATCTTACAAGGACCGAGGTATCGGGTGATACAATTGGGTTGTCATCAATTTGATTTTGAAGTTCGTTCTGAAATGCAATCCTGGACTCCTCTGATTTGCTCAGAGATCCAAATGCGCGTTTTGCCGAAGAAGCTACCATTGAGGGAGGCGCGGGTCCTCTTGAAAGATCATTTTCCTCATCTATCTCTTTTGTTGGCTCAACAGTTTTCGTTAATTTCCAGTGGGTCCACATAAATCTGACAAAACTCAAAACCCGATCATTTCCCCATTCCTCAGGGAGCTGCGGCAAACCTAACGTCATTATGATTGCTAGTACAATCAAAAAATTATCGATAAATATAGCATCGTGAGTTGMGGGTTGAAAACGTACAGACTCTGATAAAAACATCGTTGGCGAACTTACGRGCAAGGGGAAATCCCGTTAACCTTTGCAACTTTGTATATCGATTAGAAACGATACCGGCTACGATGTGACGCTGTCCCGARTACCCAACACTACAGCTATCGATATTGAATCGTTGTAGTGATTGATTATATGCAAGAGCATATGATACTGCCTTCGATGCATTTTGATCCATGGGAACACCACAAAGTGCCAGACATTTCAGGGATGTATTTTCKGAAAGACTTTTCATGATAGCCTTCACTCCAATAGTCGATATTCTGTTGAAACTAATATCRAGTAATTCCAACCGTATGGAACCAAGGACAACTGAACAAAGCTGGGCGCCGCGATCTTGCATCAAATTGCTGTYAAGTTTGATTTCTTTGAGGGTCGACGAACCCCATACTGCATTCATCAAACATTCGACACCAACACAYGTGATTTTGTTGAATGAAAGAATCAGCGACGTCAATGGAATGTTCTTATTTTGGCTRAGCGATTTCGATAGCAACGACAAGTCGGAGTCATCAAGATTGTTGTTTGACAAAGATATGTTCTTCAGATTGGAATTCGCCACYACCATGTTAGACAGTGTTTCGAAGCATTTWGACGACATCAGAACATTGTCTATATTGAATTCTTCAATAGTAACTGGTTTAATGTTGTAACCGATCTTGATACCACCTTGTCTGTGAAGAAGTTGTTGGACTCTTTTCTCTGCTTCTGCGATTGACTGAACGAGKACATTAATGCCTTCTTCACCTAKATTGTTGTTTGAAAGATGGAGCCGTGATAGACTGCAACCATGAAGAATTGCACTCGCAAKTGCCACCGCACCCTTATTCTTTATGTGATTACCTGATAAGAAAAGATTTCKCAATGTATGATTTCCTGCTACCATGTGCATGCTGAGAGATGTGCATCCGGCATCGCCAATATTATTAAATCCTAGGTCCAAGACAGTTAAATTTTGATGGTGCTTCCTTTCTTTCGCGCATCCAGAGGCAATCATACTAGCTCCTCTATCCCCAAAATTGTTGTATCCTAGTTTTAASACTGCAATCTGCGGGTTACATCGAAGGGCATTGCTTATCAGTTCTGCGTCATCCTGTAGAAGTCCTCGTCTAGAAAGATCGATCTGCAAAAAAATATGTGTAAGCACAAAACGAATACCATTTTATTTGATTCATCACAACCACTCGCGTGTACAATTCAAAGAACTACTACAACACACCAATGATGATGTTGCGGCACAAATGACTTACAACTTGTATACGTCCAGTMGGAAGAATAAGTTTCAGCCGCGAAATGAGAACCTCCCGTAGTTTTAACGAAGCCGGTGTAGATCGATAATTGATATCCAACGGTTCCACGYGCTGTATTCKTTCRTGTTGAGGAAGCCTTAGGCTTTGAATGTCTGATTCAGAACACTGTTGGTCGCCCTCCAATGCCTTCCCAACTCGCTTTCTTGTTACTTCTTCTGCACAATCTTTCATTTCATTCGCAGCCCTATGGCCTTGCTGTTGCCCRTTTGCTGCTTTCAATTTTTGACCATCTTGCTGATGCTGCGGTTCACGAATATTCTGGTTTCCTTCTGATGAACAGCCATCATTGGAGAACTTTCCCTTTTCCGTATCTTCACTTTCGCCACTTTCATCCGTAACTTCTTTGTGAGAGTTCATGTTATTATACCTCACGTTGKGGCTCGCTTCAGATGCTTGTTCTCCRTCGGTTGCGTGATTTGGACAGGATTCGATTTCCATCGTATCTTCTCCTTCACTGGTAWTTTTGTTATTATTTGTGTCGCTTGCAACCTCCATTCCAACAGCTAGTCTCGGTCCTGAAGTTGCCGCAGATTGTTCTCTAGGTCTTTTTGTTCTTATATTGCTTCTCGATCCTATATTGTGATGAATCATTATACAGCATTCACTCATCGTATGCGAGGAGTTTCACTAAGGCGGCTGCGCTTTCGGAGTTTTCAACCTCCCCTTTACGCCTTCGTGGTGAAGCTTTTGTTCGCCTAGTGTGATCGTCGGTGCTGCTTCTTCCACCAACTTTTTCACCTGAGACTCTACAAAATAAAGTTGCGCTGGCTAGATCATTCAGTCAAACAAAATACAGTCGTGGGAATGAATCAGGGCCTGTATTATTCTCTCTTTTCCATGCAGTGAGAGGCGTTATTTGTTGTAGTTAAATCTGGGCCGGAGAATAGACCAAGTCTGTGTCAAAATCGTCATCAGCACTTGCAGCAACACTCCCTCCTTCCGGCAACAGGTTTTGTTTTTCCGTTCTACTTCTACCACCGTAGAAGTACAAGTACTACGCTGCGACGATGTAATACGTAGTAGTATGTCTTATCAGAGCGAAAAATCAAGGACCACATGTAATGCAACTTGACGGTGTGTGCAGATAACGAGTAAACTACAACGTTCTATTGATGACAAATAATGGCACCTTTGATGAGACAGTGTCAAGACGTTCTGCCATAAGTGATGATTGGTTGCTGATAAATAAAATAAAATCTAGTAAAAGTACACTTATGTTGATGACGTACCTAAGAGGCACAATCTCTGTTAAATCATTTTGTTTTTGAGGTTGTCTGTCCTCGTCCGGAAAACTTATCTTATATGTAATCTTTTTCAACTTCTCCCCTCAGCTTGTAGAATCTGTCGTGCAGAACAGTACGCACGCTATCATACAGTACTCGTACAGTGCGCTACCGGTAGGTAATGTCAGGGGACATAATTTAGAGGAGTGCGCGAGCGACGCACTCAATTTTTAAGGGAACCCTTGTGTACCGGTAGATAGATCGAAACTTTGTCCAAGTTTTCTCAGCCACCCCTCATTATCCTACCGTACATCAGGAACCATGTCGATTTCAATTTTTGGGGAAATAATTAGATTCCCAGGCCCCCTCTTGGTACCGAAAATTGTGATCGGTTTTGATCAAAAAAAAATTATCAGAAATAACAAAATTGTGACCAGTTTTTTTGTGATCATGCAACAGATACGTATGTACTGTATCAGAAGTATATGTACCTACAGAGCTTCGAAGAAAGGAATGAAGGAGCGTACCATTCCTACGTATCTATCGTAAGGTACGGTTCTTATATATGTATCATAGGATCCATCGTAAGAGGTCCAGGATATCGAGAGTTAGAATATCTTACGAAGAACATAGATGTCACGAGTCCAGAATAGAAGAACCTCCATGTAGATTCCCTACCAGGTCTACATGAGGATCTAATCAGAACTTCAGAACTTTGGAATTCTCGTGAACGCGCTCGATAATCTTAATCTTATAATTCAATTTTATACACACTTGAAAAGTCCTACTACGAGTACACGTATTTCGTGCACAGTAATTACTGCTTGATTTTTGTGTATCAAAATTAATCATCCATTAAGAAAAACAACCAAATAAACCAATCGACCATGGTGAAACCAAATAAGAACACCAACTCCTCCTCACGACATCAACACTCATATCAATCATGTCTTACCCTCGACAACCACCAATTCAAGAAGAGTGACATTGAAAAGGTCAGTCTCTTCGTGGATCATCCAGCAAGGACAGAGACCTCAGGAAGAGGAGCAAGTCTAAGAACAATCAAAATCCCTGCAATGAGGAAGAAAAGAAACTGCTCAGTTTTCTCCGGACAATATGGGGTACAGGAATTGTTCTACATACAGGAAGCATTTGAAGATGCAGCGGATGACTTGAAACTGAGGGATGAACAAATAGATGAGAACTGGGTCATGGTCTTGGCACACCGACCAAGACAGAATTGGAACAACATGTGGAAAGGCCCAGACAGATTGAGAATAGGAAGAAACACCAGAGAGCAGTGGAAAGAAGCCCTTGTCTCCTACAGAGAATTCTATGCACCATCAAGGAGAGCGAGAGATGAAGTGATTGAATACTTGGAATCGGATGCAATAAAAAAGCCCCACGATGTCACCTGTCAGGAACACGCAGAGAAAGTCCTCGTTTGCTGCAACAGGGCTAACATCCTTCATGGTATCAAAAGCCCCTTATCAGAGCGAGATATCAATGAGATTCTTTTCCACTCTTTTCCCAACGCTTGGCAGGATAAGTATATCAGTTGTGGAAGGGATATCCTCGAAGATTCACCACAAGGAATAGTTAAATTCATGACAGACCAGAAGGGACTTGCCGACAAGAATGGAAGAAAACAACCGAGGAAGAGACCAGCAGATGATACTAATGCAGGACACGGAGGAAGGAATAATGGGAAACAAAGGAGACGCGGCAACAACAATAACAGAAACAACAACCAACAGAAGGAGACCCCAGAAGAAAGACAGAATAGAATCAACGCAACACCCTGCAAGAAACACAATGGAGAACACCTTTGGGGAGAATGTCCATTCAATCAGAAAGGAAACAATTACCAGGGTAAAAACCGGAATAATAATAACAACAATTACAGGGGGAATCAGAGAAGACAAGGAAATTCCAACAAGGGGAACCTCGGGCCAGGAACCTACACAGTCAGTGTGGATAGCGATGGCAATTACATCAACGTCCAACAACACTCTTCAAGTCAATCTCAGACTTACCAGAATACATCCAACTCTAGTGGTGGCCCTCCAAGCCACGTTTCATTACAGTCCAATAGCAATGCCGGATCAGTCCGTTTCCAAGGACAAGGACAAGGACCAAATCAACAATGGTGACATCCGAATGCACCAAAAGAGGCCTTCTTTGCATTGCCTCCAACACCAGCCACACAATCATCAGCAGAGAGCTTGGAATTCTACGGTCTTGATAATGAAGAAGCTCTTAAGAACCCCACGGCAGTCACCTTGAGAGCTCTGAAACCAACACCAGATGTGCTACCAACAGTGATACTTGTCTGTAAGGCCATCCAAGACCTACCGACAATGCAAACATTCAAAGTTCTTTTAGACAGTGGGAGTACAATGAGCCTCATTCATGAGCATTGCCTTCCACCAGGAATAGTCCCCTTCCAGGACAAATACAGTATGGTTACAACCACAGCCCAGGGAAGTTTCGACACTTCTAAGTATGTTTTCATATCCAACATAAGACTCCCTGAGTTTGGCAACGGCAAATATATCAAGGGAATAAATGCAAGGCTCTTCTCAGCCCCTTGTAACTACGACGTGATTCTAGGACGCGACTTCCTATTGATGACTGGAATAGACCTCTTCTATTCTACACGCACCATCAGATGGTTGGGATCAACCATTGACATGAAACCCACGGATCACTTCAATGATCCCCAGCAAATAGCAGAGGCTATGTGGCTGGCAGAGGATGATGAGCTCCTAGATGGAGGATTCCTACTAGAGTTTCATCTACTCCCCCCAAACTACCAACAACAAGACTGCAGACATGCAGCCCGATCGGACAGTTATCTAGCAGCAGATGCTGCCAGAGCTAACCAAATACTTGATGCTAAATACCAACGAGTAACTCCAGAAGAGGTTGCAAACCATCAGGAGCATATGAACAGCTCAGAAAGACTAGCATTCAAGGAGATGTTAGCCAAACACACAGAGTTGTTTGATGGCAAGCTGGGCAGATATCCGCATGAAAAGATCCACATAGATCTAAAAGAGGATGCTGAACCAGTCTACATAAGACCATACCCCGTGTCCTACAGACACAAGGATGTCTTCAAACGGGAGTGCCAGCACCTAGTACAGGAAGGAGTGATAGCTCCCACTGGCAATTTGGAATGGGGCTTCCCCGCCTTTATCATTCCGAAAAAGGATGGACGAGTCAGATGGCTTGTTGACCTTCGAGAGTTGAACAAAAGGATCAAACGCCCTAAATTCAACCTCCCCAGAATCCAGGACATCATGAATCGCAGAACACGGTATGATCACTTCACCAAGATTGACCTCTCAATGATGTTCTATTGCTTCAAATTAGATGAAGCCAGCCAAAAGATTTGCACTCTCACCACAACACACGGCAATTACAGATGCCTAAGATTGCCTATGGGACTTAAATCGTCTCCAGATTATGCCCAAGCATTCATAACCAAGATCCTGGTCAACCTTGATGTTGAAGTGTATATCGATGACATGGGGATTTGGTCCAGGGGGCCATTCAGCAAACACCTGTCTCTTGTAGACCCAGTCCTTCAACGTCTAGCATCAAATGGAATGAAATGTAATCCACTGAAGTGTGAATGGGCGGTGAAAGAATCTGATTTCCTTGGCTATTGGCTCACCCCTACTGGCGTCAAGCCTTGGCAGAAGAAAGTAGATGGGATTCTAAAGATGGGAATTCCCCAAAATCAATCACAGGTCCGGTCTTTCCTGGGTGCAGTGAAT